ACCTGAGGTCAGGAGTTCAAGACCAGCCTGGCCAACATCCTGAAACCCCCTTCTCTACTGAAAATGTAAAAATTAGCTGGGCATAGTGGCGGGCGCCTGTAATCCCAGCTACTTGTGAGGCTGAGGCAGGAGAATCACTTGAACCTGGGAGGCAGAGGTTGCAGTGAGTCAAGATTGCACCACTGCACTCCAGCCTGGGCAACAGAGCAAGACTCCATCTCAATAAAAAGAGGACGAGAGTCTCCTGAAGCTCTTCTTGGACGCAGCTAGCAAACATCTTCTTCACTGTCACTAGTCTAGACAGGTCCACGGGCTCACCTCTGTACTATTAGGAGATGCCACAGTGGTGGGCGGGAGAGGGGAGGGGTTGACCAAGGTTCGGGGACTGGGGTGAAACATGGAACTTAGATCAGAAATCTGGGCTGGATGTCGGAGGCGGGGTGCAGATGAGTTCAGCAGCTCCCACCAAATTGCTATCACGTTGTCATGGCAATACCTAACAACATAATTGCCCATCCATAAGGGAGAACTGAGGGCTCACCTGATTAGACCTACCAATCTTAACTTACCTCACTTGTTTTTAGTTGATTATAAACTCTCATAGTGTTAAAAGACACTCAGCTAAACACTATATAGCTAACCTCCCAGGCCAGGTGTGGTGGCTCATGCCTGTCATCTCAGCATTTTGGGAGGACAAGGCAGGCAGATAGATCACTTAAGCCAGGAGTTAGAGACCAGCCTGAGAAATATGGTGAGACCCCCATCTCTACAAAAAAAATACAAAAAATAGCCAGGTGTGGTGGCATGTACCCATAGTCCCAGCTCCTAGGGGGGCTGAGGTGGGAGGATTGCTTGAGCCCAGGAGTTGGAGGCTACAGTGAGCCATGGTAGTGTCACTGCATTCCAGCCTGGGCAATAGAGAGAGACCCTGTCTCAAAAAAAAAAAAAAAAAAAAGAAAAGAAAGGAAAAGAAGGAGGGAGGGAGGGAGGGAGGGAAGGAAGGAAGGAAGGAAGGAAGGAAGGAAGGAAGGAAGGAAGGAAGAAGGGGCACAGTGGCTCAAGCGTGTAATCCCAGTACTTTGGGAGGCTGAGGCGGGTGAATCACCTGAGGTCAGGAGTTTGAGACCAGCCTGGCCAACATGGTGAAACCCCGTCTCTACTAAAAATACAAAAAATTAGCTGGGTGGCTGGCGCCTGTAATCCCAGCTACTTAGGAGGCTGAGGCAGGAGAATCGCTTGAACCCGGGAGGTGGAGGTTGCAGTAAGCTGAGATCGTGCCACTGTACTCCAGCCTGGGCAAAAAGAGCAACACTCCATCTCAAAAACAAAACAAAACAAAACAAACCCCCCCCCGCAAAAAAAAAAAAAACTCCCACTAGTTCCCTTATAGATAACATCTCTATGAATGGGCCACCATGGTAATGGTTGCTTAAGTTGTTCTTCAGGAACAGGATCAGTTCTTGTCCAGTTCAAATGGGCTGAGAGCCGAACCTTCACCTCGGCCTGTGTGTATTTAGATGGTGACCTTTTGACGTTAGAAGGCCAAACACTACACCCTCAGATCATGATAACAATGTCATTTGGTGAACACGCATCCTATGGAATGCATCCTATGGAAAACCCATGAAGCTTGACTACGCATACACGGTTCCCCGACTGCCCCACTTTTCCCCGTGTCTCTGACCACCTTGCTCCTCTATCCCTTAAATATCCCTAAAACCCCATCTTCAGGGAGGCAGATTTGAGATCTGTTCTCCTTTCTCCTCACTTGGCTGCCTCGTGAATCAACTCTTCGCTACAAAACCTGTCATCTCTGTTGTACTGATGGGCAGAACGAGCCTGGTTTGGTAACATAAGGGATGCGTGAATTTCTGAGTAGCTGGTACCTCCAAGACTGGCTAATTAAAAAAAATTTTTTTGAGATGGAGACTTGCTCAGTCACTTAGGCTGGAGAGCAGTGGCTCACTGCAACCTCTGCCTCCCAGGTTCAAGCAATTCTCCTGCCTCAGCCTCCTGAGTAGCTGGGATTTTTGTACTTTTCGTAGAGATGGTGTTTCAGCATGTTGGTCAGGCTGGTCTCGAACTCCTGACCTCAAGTGATCCACCTCCCCTGGCCTCCCAAAGTGCTGGGAGTAAAGGCATGAGCCACTGCACCTGGCCTTATTTTTTTTTTTTTTTTCTGTAGAGATGGGGGGTCTCACTATGTTGCCTAGGCTGGTCTCAAACTCCTGGGCTCAAGCAATCCACCTGCCTCAGTCTCTCAAAGTGCTGGGATTACAGGCGTGAGCCACCGCACCCACCTTGGTGAATTTTACCATGGGAATCCTCTAGGAGAAAACTGCATAGCTGCTAAACAGTATGTACAACACAGACCAACTCAAAAGAAATCCTGCTGCACGTGAGCAGGTTGGAGAGCAGCGGGGGGTCAGCACAGTGGAACTTGTTCCTACTCCCACCCCAACAAGAGCACCAGGCCTGTGCTGGCCCAGCCACCTCTCCTCTCTGGGCACGCAGAGGCTCCCACTTCTGGCCTGGTGGTGGGTGGGCCCTGCAAGTTGCTCTGGCCAATGGGCTGCAGGCGAAGTGAGCCGGGATTGCCATTGGAGACCCTGCGGTGGCTGCCCCTGCAGATGGTGACTGATGTTCAGACCTGAAGCCTCAGCCAGCCCCAGAGTGCAGGGCGCTTGGGAAGGAAGGCCGTGTTCAAGTCCATGAGACTTTGGGCTGCGCTGGATGCAGCTGGAGACGGCCCCTCCTGCCTTTGTGGGTGGCCACATATATCCTGAAAGGGACGAGTGTATGCACAGAATCTCTGTGGGAGGAGACAGGAGAAAATGGTCACAGGAGGCCCCCTGCGGAGGGAACTGTTCACCTAGTTTTCACTGTAAGCCCTTGTAGACAGCTGGTGTTTTCTGGAAAATTGTGGTATGTATTAATTCAAACAACAATAGCATTTAAAAACTTTATTCAAGACTTTTATTCAGAACGTTTATCACAAATATGTTTCAAAAACACTTCAACCCTGTTTGGGGGTTCATGGGGGAAGATGTGGGGTCAGAGCCAAAGAACAGCCAGGAGCAGGAGAAGAAGTCATTTATATTTTTATTAAATATACTCTCTTGGCACAAATCTTTAAAATATATAAACATTAGATATAAACAGTGTCTTCATGGCATCAAAATATAACTCCAGACCAGGACCAGAGACTAGCAGGGAGGCGAGTGACCGCAGAGCCTCGAGGGCCTGGCTGTGTGCAGGGGTGGGGGACAGCACTGTCCCAACTCCTGCCGGGTCCCACTCAGCTGGGAGCCATCTCCAGGGAGACACACTGGGGTCAGCAGGGCCTGGGGGACCCTCCCACCTACGCCTTGTCTCTCCTGCCTAGCCTGTGGCCCCAAATCCACCCATTTGGTCTCACCCACCTGGGGCAGACCCCCAATCTCTATTGCTGTCACATGCTTGTGTGAGTTGGGTGCCCTCCCATCTCCCTGTGAGGGTTGCCCTGCCTCTCCTGCCAAGTCTGAGTGCTGGGTAAAGGATACCCACCCAGTGGGACAACCCCTCACAGCCATCACAGGCTGCCTGGGCCTCTGGGGACGAGATCAGGGATGGCTGGTGGCCACATGCAAGGAAGGCAGAGAGAGCGGTCTGCACACCCACAGGTCCAAGGCAAGAACAGGAGGAGGACAGAAGGAAGGGAGAAATGGAAGTCACAGCTGGAGATGAACAAGCTCAGATCCCTTCACACAGCGTGTGCTGAGCCAGCCGTGGAAAGCAACACTCACGTTACGCTCACCCTGGCACCAGGTCAGGGGTTCAATGTCAATAGATCATAGACCCGGGGTCAGCCAAGTTGAAAACCAAAACAAAAAAAAAAAAAAAAAAAAAAGAAGGGTGTTTCTGAGTCCCTGTGATATCTGGTGGGCCCTGGGGGACTTCTCTGAGAGACCAGTTAGCCTCCCCTGGGTACCTCAGCTCTTCCTCACCTCCCACCCCCAGGCTATACTCTGTCATGAGGCTCCCACTCGGGGAGATGGAGGCTACCAGGTGCCCTGTGCTCCATTTCATAGAAACTGAACAACTCCTGTGGGCTTTAAATTGCTCCATATCCCAGCCAAATGCCTGCTCAAGTGGGGACCCAGGAACCCATTGGATACCACAGCTGGGCAGAGGGTTGGGGCACTGAGACGCTGGGCCCAGGGGGCAGGAGCTTCTGGGCCAAAGCGGGGGGCTTGGGCGCTTACATTTCAGCAGATGCCCCAGGCTGCAGGTCTGACCCAAACCTGAGGCAGTTCCATGTCATGGCCTGGGCCTGGAGCCCTGCTGCAGAGCAAGCGTGAGTCTCCTGGGAAGGTTACAAAGCAGGTGGGCAGGCAACCCTAGGGGGAGATGTGCTCTTGAGGACCCAGCTGCTTGCAGGGTCTAGGATAGAGACAGACATGAGGCTCTGGGGGACACTGTTCCCAGCAGGAGGCTCTGGTGACTGAGGAGTCGTGGCCACGCGGGAAATACTGAAGAAGGCAGGGCCGGCAGGGTGGGGTGGTCCAGGGGCTGCATTTGTGACCAAAGCTGATCACGAGGCTGCCCCATCCAGGGCAGGGTCCGCCTGCAGGAAAGGCGCCCCCGCACCCCGGAGGCCGGGCAGGCACCTGGAGTCAGAACAAGAAGGGCCAGGCGCGGTCTGGCTCTGAGCCTGGTGGGGACAGGGGTCACTAGAATCAGCAGCATGTCGGAGGACACACAGGATCAGGAGGTGGAGCCGACCACGCCCCACTAGGGCCTTTTGGGCAACACCTCCGGCAGGCAGCGCCAGCCTCTGCAGAGGAAGGAGGAGGGGGGCTGCGGGACACCCCCACCACCATCGCCCCAACACTTCACTTCCAGGGCCGCCAGCTTTGCGTTTGGACCTGGACTCTGAGCCCAGGCTCCTCCGGTCCACCTTCTCGTTCCACAAAGCGCCTCATGTGGCTCCTGAGGTGGAATCAAGCGCGCCCCCCCGTTCCGTGGGCCCAGAATACAAAGGGGTCACTGGTCCACCGTCCTGAGAGCAGCTCAGGGTACCCTAGCTCTGCAGGTGCCGCAGCAGGATCTGCATGAGGTCGAAGGTGGTGAAGCTGATGCCCACGGCGATAGGACCCTTGACCCAGTTCATGCTCAAGCCTTTGTAGAGGCCGCGCACCGCGCCCTCCTCCCGCACGATGGTGCGCAGCGTGCAGGCGATCGAGGCACGCGGGTAGCCGGTGACGCCGGCCGTCTGCATACGCCGCCGCACCACATCCAGCGGGTACGAGGCCGATTGCCCGATGAGGCCAGCGCAGGCGCCGAAGATCATGCGCTCGAAGGGGTAGGGCTGTCGGCGGCCACTGTACTCTGCAGGGCAAGGGGCGGGAGGGCCGTGAGGGCGCCGCGAGGGGGCATGCACCCCGCACCCGTGCGCGCGCACCTTTGCACCCCTAGGAGCAACCTGCGTGCACATACACACATGCACTTGCACCCCCACGTGTGTTCGCACTCATGCGCACCCACACGCCCACTGCCTCATCCCCGGGGTTGCTCCTTTCACTCAAATTCGAGAAATAATTTTTTTTTTTTTTTGAGACGGAGTTTCACTCTTGTTGCTCAGGCTGGAGTGCAATGGCGCAATCTCGGCTCACTGCAACCTCTGCCTCGCCGGTTCAAGCCATTCTCCTGTCTCAGCCTCCTCAGCAGCTGGGATTATAGGCATGCATCACCACGCCTGGCTAATGTTGTATTTTTGGTAGAGACAGGGTTTCTCCATGACCAACATGGAGAAACCTCCTCTCTACTAAAAACACACAAAAATTAGCCAAGTGTGGTGGCGGGAGCCTGTAATCCCAGCTACTCGGCGGCTGAGGCAGGAGAATGGCTTGAACCCGGGAAGCAGAGGTTGCAGTGAGCTGAGATCATTCCACTGCATGCCTAATTTTTTTGTATCTTTGGTAGAGACGGGGTTTCGCCATGTTGCCCAGGCTGGTCTGGAACTCCTGACCTCAAGTGATCCGCCCACCTTGGTCTCCCAAAGTGCTGGGATTACAGGCATGAGCCATGGCACTGGCCAGAGTTCCTCTCACATAGGCATTTCAGGCAGTGAGTCCAGGTTCCTCAGTGGTGGCTGGACACAGTGTGTTTTCTCCCGATTTGGATGTGGGTCTACAGCCTGCCCCATCCAGGGGTCGTACCCCACTCTGCCCAGTCTCCAGGTCTATGTGACCCAGGTGGAGCTGCGGTCCCCAGGGAATGCTTCCTGAACGTCCCCTCCCCATGCCCCCAGCTCTCCTTACCTCTGTGCAGGCTCTTGAGCGTCTCATAGGTGAAGAAGCTCAGGCCGGCGTAGGGAATGACCCCCAGCACAGTGGGCATAAATCCGTGGTAGAGGGTCTTCAGCCCCTCTTCCCTCGAGATGCGGATGAAGACATGAAAGATGTTGCTGTACCTGCCAGGACAGAGCAGCCCAGCAGGTGGGACTCGGCCCTCCCAGGCACAGGGAGGAGCCACAGAGGCTCTTGGCTCCTCCCACAGCCGCCTGGGCCTGGGTGTGTTTGGATGTTGATGTTTTCCTTCTTCAAGACATATAACCCCATCGCCCAAGCTTTGGCATTAGAGGGGAAATGCACGGGTAAGCCTAGACTCCACCTTTGCCACAGGAAGCACTCTGGCATGCTCAGCCCTTGTCTCTTTTTTTGTTTGTTTTTTTTTGTTTGTTTGTTTGTTTGTTTTTGTTTTGAGACAGTCTCCCTCTGTTGCCCAGGCTGGAGTGTAGTGTCACAATCTCGACTCACTGCAACCTCTGCCTCCTGGGTTCAAGTGATTCTCCTGCTTCAGCCTCCCAAGTAGCTGGGATTACAGATACATGCCAGCAGACCTGGCTAATTTTTGTATTTTTAGTAGAAACAGAGTTTCACCATGTTGACCAGACTGGTCTTGAACTCCTGACCTCAGGTGATCCACCCACTTCAGTCTCCCAAAGTGCTGGAATTACAGGCATGAGCCACCATGCCCGGCCTCTATTCTTACATTTTTTTTGTCTTTTTTTTTTTGGAAACAGGGTCTCACTCTGCGGCCTGGCTGGAGTGTAGTGGTGTGATCATGGCTCACTGCAGCCTCAAGCTGCCAGACTCAAGCAATCCTCCTCCCTCAGCCTCTGGAGCAACTGGGACCACAGGCGTATGCCACCACACCAGGCTAATATTTCAGTTTTTGTAGAGATGGGGTCTTGCTATGTCGCCCAGGCTGATCTCAAACTCCTGGGCCCAAGCGATCCTCCTGCCTTGGCCTCCCAAAGTGCTGGGTTTACAGGCATGAGCCACTGCACCCAGGCCCAAGCCCAGTCTATTCTTTTTTTTTTTTTTTTTTTTGAGACGGAGTCTTGCTCTGTCGCCCAGGCTGGAGTGCAGTGGCCGGATCTTACCTCACTGCAAGCTCTGCCTCCCGGGTTTACGCCATTCTCCTGCCTCAGCCTCCCGAGTAGCTGGGACTACAGGCGCCCGCCACTTCGCCCGGCTAGTTTTTTGTATTTTTTAGTAGAGACAGGGTTTCACCGGGTTAGCCAGGATGGTCTCTATCTCCTGACCTTGTGATCCGCCCGTCTTGGCCTCCCAAAGTGCTGGGATTACAGGCTTGAGCCACCGCGCCCGGCCGCCCCGTCTATTCTTAACACATTTTTCATGATCATGGTATCTTCCCTGAATTAAGCAATCTAGTCTCACAATTTTTTTTTTTTTTTTTTTTTTTTTTAGGCAGAGTCTGGCTCTATTGCCTATGCTGGAGTGCAGTGGCTAGATCTCGGCTCACTGCAACTTCTGCCCCCGGGGTTCAAGCAATTCTCCTGCCTCAGCCTCCCGGGTAGCTGGGAATACAGGTGAGTGTCACCATGCCCGGCTAATTTTTGTATTTTTAGTAAAGATGGGGTTTCACCATGTTGCCCAGGCTGCTCTCAAACTCCTGACCTCAAGTGATCCGCCCGCCTCGGCCTCCCAAAGTTTTGGGATTACAGGTGTGAGCCACTGCCATATTCTTACATATTTTTAATGCATCTGTGCCCAGTTCAAAATGAAGACTCTTGGTTTTGATCTAAGCAGAAACTGACCCCCAGGCTAAGAGAACAAATTGCTGCCTTTCTGGAACAGCTGCAGAATAAAACACGAGGCCTGCCCTGTGGACACAGAGGCCCAGATGCAAACCCCAGGGGCCCGATAGAGAGAGGGATTCCGACCTGGGAGCCCCCGAGACACAGAGCCCCCGGGGCTGATGCGCATCACAGACGTGAGGACTCACATTTCCTTCGGGGTTACGGCCATCCGCGCTCTGACCAGGTCCAGGGGGTAGGTCAGTGAAGCGGCTGTCGTTCCAGCCAGTGCGCCGGCGAAGAGGCGAGGCCAAGGGGGCAGGGCTCTGAACAGGGCAGGGGGAGAAGGCGAGACGCCAGTGAGGGGACTGCAGATGCACAGAGGCCCAGCCTGGAGCACACGCACGTCTCTGCTGGGGCGGGGACAGGGGTGGGGACCGAGGAACACGAGGCGGGTTTGGCTTTCTCGTGGCAAAGATGATGGGGTCTCTGGAGTGGGCCTCATTTTGAGGTTCACATGGCTGCCTTCCCTTCCCCGCTGCTGGCATAAATTAATCAATGATACGTATTTTAATCAATGATACGCATAGTGGCCTGTCTCTCTGGGATTTATGTGTGGGGGTGGAGAAACGTCTGGAGACAAACGGGCAAAGGAGAGGAGCTCTGAACACAGAATAGGGCATGTGACAGAGTCAGGGGGCGCCTCAGGAGGGCCTGGGTGAGGAATCTCCCGGTGTTTCATTGGGGGAAGAGGGAGTGCGGGGCTAGGGGCAGGGCACCGAGAAGAAAACGCGGAGAGGGCGGGGCATAGGGAGGGCAGGGGGCAGGGCGTGCAGAAGAAAGAGAGAGGGGCGGGCGTGGGCGGGGCAATTCTGGGGCAGGGCAGGGCAGGGCGGGGCCTCACTCTCCGCGGAAGCCATAGTAGCTGCCCAGGATGCGCTTGTACTCTTCGTGGGCGCTGAACTGGATGGCGGCGTAGGGCACCACGCGCACCATGGTGGCCGAGTTCCCGCGCCACAAGCTGAGAAAGCCCTCGTTGAGGTAGGTGTAGTAGAGGACCCGGAAGGCCTCCTGGAGATAAGCGGGGAGGTCAACATCCCTCCGCCTCTGCCTGCCCTCCCCGTGCGCCTGTGTGACCAGCAGAGCGCTGAAAGTGCGGAGGCGGGGCCGGGGTGACTCCATCTCCATGCACAGTAAACACCCCCACCCCCATGTGAGGGCCCCACCCCGATTTGTCCAGACTGACATTATCAACCCCAGCTCCGTCCCTCCTCCCTATGTTTTCTGGGCCTCCCACCCCAGCAAGTTCTCCATCCCTGGGGACTGCAAAGCGAACCAGGCTGCAAAGCAGCTCGGAGCCTGCCCGAGGGCATGTCTGTTGGTGTTTGGCATTCTAGCTTTTACAGTTTATCTTTTTCTTTATTAAGAAGGTAGCACCTGCTCTCTAACAATAAATCAAACATGAAAGGTTGTTTTAGAGCTGCCGAGTCTCCCCACCCCACTGCCGGAAAGACACTCGGGATGTCCCGTCAATTCCCAGGCTGGGCTGTGTCCAGGCAGAGCTGGGGATGGGAAGACAGGTAGTCCTGTCCCCACCCCTGAGACTCAGATCACCTGCCTAACTCCTGCCAGCCCAGCAGGGTAGTGGTGACTGTCCCCAGGCCAGGGCGGTGACATAGTGGCTCACCTTGGCAGAAAATCTTTTTGAAGACACTGGAAAAAACAGAAGCACAAAAGCCACTGAGAACCTCGCGTCTGCGTGGCCCCACCCCCGGCACCCCCTAGCAGAGTCGCCCTCCTCTTCTCCCCAATCTTGTCCCAGGAATGGGAGCTGAGCTGACACCCAACCCCCAGAATAGTGAGGGTCTCCAGTGAGAGAACGTGTCTGAGATGGGTTGGCACTCAGCCCCCTGTCCCTGGACTAGACTACTATTCACCCAAACCCCTGCAGTGAAGGTGTCCCAGCCGCCAGGCACTTGGGCCTCAGCTGAAAGCCCAGGCTCTCAGAACAAGGCTTGCGGGTTCCATGTGTGCGGTCAGTCCTCTTTTCCGGACATGCCCCTCCCAGGGCCCCAGCACAGGCACCACTATCCTGCCTCTCCCACCCCCTGTGGCTGCCAGGTTCCCTCTCTGGTTCTGTGCTGCCCTTGGGCATGGGGGACCCGAGCCATGTTGGGCCATGAGCACTCTTGGGAGAGACCCAGAAAAACGGGCTACAAACGGTCACCAGGAGCCTCTGACGGCCTGGCAGCCCGCTTCCCTCAGCCCTCGCGCCCCACCACTTGTGTGTGCAACGTGCATGCATGCCTGCTGCCTCCAGGGTTGAACCCCAGTTCCCTGAAGAACACAACACCCCGCACCTGCTCATGCACACTTAAAGGGGCCTGCCCTGGCCAGGCGCAGTGGCTCAAATCTGTAATCCCAGCACTCTGGGAGGCTGAGGCAGGTGGATCACCTGAAGTCAGGAGGTCGAGACCAGCCTGGCCAACATGGCAAAACGCTGACTCTACTAAAAAAAAATACAAAAAAATTAGCTGGGCATGGTGGCAGACTCCTGCAATCCCAGCTACTCGGGAGGCTGAGGCAGGAGAATCGCTGAAATCCGGGAGGTGGAGGTTGCGGTGAGCCGAGATCGCACCACTGCACTCCAGCCTGGGGAACAGAGAGACTCTGTCTCAAAATAAATAAATAAATAAAAGGGCCTGCCCCTTTTGAAGACCTGCCAGCTCACTGGATGCCCATGCCTGCCAAGGAGGACGCTGATACTCATGCCTCCACTTTACGGAGGAGGAAACTGGGACACAGAGAGGGTAGGGGATCGGCTCAAGGTGGTGGGAAGGGCCTGGCTGAAGCCTGCAGATTCTTCCCAAACAGCTGAGGGGCAGAGGGCCCCGGCCGTAACCATCTTGCTTCTAGGCCCTGGGCAGGAACTGGTAACTGTTTGAGGGGGGCAAAGGCCACCTCTTCAAAGGACTCTGTGACTGTTTAACCCTAGGGAGGGAGGGTGAGGGTTTCTGTTAAGGGTTTAATTTCTGTCCTCCGAAAAGCTGTGTCCAAATTCTAACCCCTAATCCCCAAGAAGATGACCTTATCTGAAAGCAGGGCCTTTCCAGATGTAATAGAGTTAAGGTAAGGTTGTACTGGGTTAGGGTGGGCCCTAAATGCAAATTGGTGTCCTTATAAGAAGAGAAAACAGGCCGGGCGCGATAGCTCATGCCCGTAATCCCAGCACTTTGGGAGGCCAAGGTGGGTGGATCACTTGAGGCCAGGAGTTCAGGACCAGCCGGGCCAACACGGCGAAACCTGTCTCTACTAAAAATACAAAAAAATTAGCCAGGCATGGTGGTGCGTGCCTGTAGTCCCAGCTAGTCAGGAGGCTAAGGCAGGAGAATTGCTTGAACTGGGGAGATGGAGGTTGCAGTGAGCCAAGATCACACCACTGAACTCCAGCCTGGGTGACAGAGTGAGAGTCTATCTCAAAAACAAACCAACAAAATAAATATACAGAGAGAAAACAGACACACACGTGATGACAGACGCAGAAATTGGAGCCATGCGGCCACAAGCCAAGGAGAACCAGGACCCCCCAGAAGCTGGAAGAAGTAAGGAAGATCCTCCCCTAGAGCCTCTGGAGGGAACGCAGCCCTGCCCACACCTGTAGACTTCTGGCCCCAGGACTGTGAGAGAAGAAATTCCTGTTGTTTGAGGCCGCCTGGTTTGTGGTCTGACAGTAGCCCCAGGAAACTCGTACAGATTTGAAGTGGATTTTATTATTTTATTTATTTATTTATTTATTTATTTATTTATTTATTCATTCATTCATTCATTTATTGAGACAGAGTCTCTCTGTCACCCAGGCTGGAGTGCAAAGCCGTGATCTCGGCTCACTGCAACCTCCGCCTCCCAGGTTCAAGCGATTCTCCTGACTCAGCCTCCAGAGTAACTGGGATTGCAGGTGCCCGCCACCATGTCCAGCTAATTTTTATATTTTTAGTAGAGGCGGGGTTTCCCCATGTTGGCCAGGCTGCTCTCAAACTCCTGACCTCAAGTGATCCATCCACCTCGGCCTCCCAAAGTGCTGGGATTACAGGCAAGAGCCACTGCGCCTGGCCTCTAAGTGGATTTTAAAGAGACATTAAAAAAACCCAATTTGAGTGCAGTGGAGCACACCCATAGTCCCAGCTACTTGGGAGGCTTAGGCAAAAGGATCACTTGAGCCCAGGAGTTTAAGGCCAGCCTGGGCAACAGAGAAAAACCTCATTTCTAAAATAAATCTAAAAAAAAAAAAAACAATTTGAAGCATGGTTTAGGGGCCATGAAGGAGGAGGTGACCGCCTGGCAGCTTCTCTTTCACATGGGGAAGGACAACACTTACCTTGGAAGATGATTTTGGTTCGGTCCAGGGGGGCTACTGCTGTTTTGGCAAGGGCGCCAGCCAGGGCCCCAGACAGCAGGGAGCTGAGCACTTGCCTGTGGTCACGCTGCAACAGAACACGTGATCAGAGGTCAGAGGGCAGGGGGTCTGTTCTGCAGAGGACCGTGCCCCAGAAGTGCCTTCCTTACACCCTCTGGGCCAGGGCCAAGGGATGCACCCCACCCGGAGTGTGTTGGCGCTGCTTGGTTCTGGGTGATCCATGGTGGGTCCACAGGCCACAGTGAAAACCTCCCAGGATAACAGGGACCATCCACGTTGGAGGTGAGGTGTGCAGGTTTAACATTCTCAGAGACAGGCTCACAATAGGACTGGCCTACGTGCAAACTTCTGTTCCCTCCACAGCCTGTGTGCACCTGACTATGGCACTGTGGCATGTTAGGTACACAGGGACTGAAAACAGGCACTAGGGACCGATGCGGTCAGGGGGTTGGCAGTGGGTATCAGGCAAGCAGACCTTGACTCTGTGCCGGCGTGTCCCTTCCCACAACTTCCGATCAGGACTCCGGAGGTTGGCATCTATGACTCTTCATCCAGCCCAGTTGAGGGGGTGACAGCGACATTGATGATGGCTGCCAACTTGCGTTGACTACTCCCATGCCAGCCCGAGAGCCATTGCTTTCTGGAGTCCCTCTGGAGCTGCCCAAGGCCCCTGCTCCCCCACAGCCCTCCCTCCTTCCCAGGAAGGTCGCACCGCACAGGAGTGTGTCCGAGCCCTGTGGGATCCCATGGGTACCACCTGCCCATCAGGCTGGAGTTTCCATTTCCCCTGCTGACTCGGCCACGGGACTCTCACTGAGAAGTGGCAGAGAGCATTCTGGAAAGTTCTGGATGGGAGGTGCTCTGATTCCATTTCCCCAGTGGACTCGGCCACGGGACTCATTGAGAAGTGGCGGAGAGCATTCTGGAAAGTTCTGGATGGGAAGTGCTCTGACCTTTCCTTGCCCTGCAGTGCTTTGCTGTCTGAACGTAACGTGGATGGGCAGGTGGTTCAGCAACTCCCAGGGATCTGTGAAGTCCCACTACGCACAGGCTTCCTGAAGGGCCTGGAGTCCCACAGTGCAGGGTGGGGGTGTGTGCAAGACTCCTCCTTTCCCCATGGTGCTGCTGGTCCACACAGAGAGCCAGATGCCAACAGAATCATCAGATAAATGCAAATACAACCACCCATTGGGAAGGTGCCGCCAGGAGGTGGCCCAGGGTTCTGCAAGAACTCTGGGTAGGGGGGTGAGAGGCTGATCTTGAAGGATGAGGTGCAGGTCACTTTGGGGTGTATGTCATAGTATTAGGTGGGGAGGAATGAACACTCAGAGGCTAGGGTGAAAAGGAGCAGGGGACCCTGGGGGACCACAAGGAGGGCAGATTTGCTGGCACAGGGAAAGGGAGGGGGCCCAGAGAATAGAAAGGAGATGGGAAAGAGAGGTGGGTGCCAGACCCCACAAAGCCTGGCAAGGAGGGCTGATCTTTGCCCAAATAAATGGGCAATTTTTTTTTTTTTTGAGACACAGTCTCGCTCTGTTGCCCAGGCTGGAATGCAGTGGTGTGATCTCAGCTCACTGCAACCTTTGCCTTTCAGGTTCAAGCAATTCTGCTCCCTCAGCTTCTTGAGTAGCTGGGATTACAGGCAAGCACCACCACGCCTGGCTAATTTTTGTATTTTTAGTAGAGATGGGGTTTCGCTATGCTGGCCAGGCTGCTCTTGAATTCCTGGCCTCAAGTGATCTGCCTGCCTCGGCCTTCTGAAGTGCTGGGATTACAGGCATGAGACACCATGCCCGGCCTAAATGGCCCATTTTTAATATGACCAGAGTGGGGCTGGGCACTGTAGCTCATGCCTGTAATCTCAGCACTTTGGGAGGCCGAGATGGGCAGATCACCTGAGGTCAGGAGTTCGAGACCAGCGTGCCCAACATGGTGAAACCCTATCTCTACTAAAAATATGAAAATTAGCCGGACATGGTGGTGGGTGCCTGTAATCCCAGTTACTCATAAAATTGAGGCAGAAGAATCGCTTGAACCCGGGATGCCAAGGTTGCAGTGAGCCGTGATTGTACCACTGTTCTCCAGACAGGGTGACACAGCGAGTCTCCATCTGAAAAAATAAAGAATAAAAATAACAATGTGACCAGGGTAGAAGTGGCTCCTGCAGAAACCCAGGATAGATATGGTGGAGGCTGGAGATGGGGAAGGGATGTGGGAGCACTTCTCAGGTGTTACAGGCAGCCAGAGTCAGACTGAGCATGGCTGCCCCCACCTCTAGAGTTTGCTCAACTCAGTGGGTGGCTTGGGGTGAAGGGCTGGGCCTGAGTCTGTCCACACACCTGCCTGAATCCCAGCTCTGCCCTGACTGAGCTCAGGCAGAGGGTGCCCTCTTTGGTCTCCCAGTCCTCATCGTTGAAACAGCAAGGTGCCAGCTCTCAGACCCTCTCCCACATGTCCTGGGCTACCCAGCAGTCTTGCACCCCCAGTCCGGTTCCACAGAACACAGCCTTCTTTTCCTCAGTGCCCTCAGGGTCCCCTCCACCAGCCCAGCCCTCCCTTCCTCAAAGGGACAGAGTGCACAGCGATTTTGTTTCTGAGGTCAAACTTCGCCATGGGGTTTGATCTTCTCCTAGCTTCTTGGAGGCCTGTCTTTGGGGGCCTCTGCCTTTTCTGGGACATGCAGCCAGGTTGCAGATGTCTGGTTCCACAAGCTTTGAGAAATGTGGGCGCTTGGTGGTCGTCCCAGCAGCAGTCCAAGGCTTTACCAGCCAGCCAGTTTCTTCTCTGAATCAGTCGGACCAGCTGTTCCCCTCTGGAATGGGCCTCTGTGTGCAAATGGAATATTCCATGGAGAGTGCCTCCCTGTGCCCTGCTGGCGACAGAGTTCTTCTACCTCCTCCATTCGGTGTTTACCTCCTATCAGTTTGTCCTTTTGTTTGCTTGTTTGCTTGTTTTTTGAGACAGAGTCTTGCTCTGTCCACCAGGCTGGAGTACGGTGGCGCAATTTTGGCTCACCACAACCTCTGCCTCCCAGGTTCAAGTGGTTGTCCTGCCTCAGCCTTCCCAGTACCTAGGATTACAGGCGTGCACCACCCTGCTTGGCTAATTTTTGTATTTTTGGCAGAGATGGGGTTTCTCCACGTTGCCCAGGCTGGTCTCGAATTCCTGAGGCTCAGGTGATCGCCTGTCTTGGCCTCCCAAAGTGCTGGGATTACAGGCCCAGCAGAGGCTCTTAACATTACAAAGCCAACTCTGTGTTGTTTGTTTGAGATAGGATCCCACTCTGCCACCAGACTGGAGTGCAAGTGCATGATCATAGCTCACTGCAGCCATGACCCCTTGGGCTCAGGTGATCCTCCCACCTCAGCCTCCTCAGTAGCTGAGACCACAGATGTGTGCCACCACACCCAGCTAATTTTATTTTTTTGCAAAGACAAGGTCTTGCTGTGTTACCCAGGCTGTTCTCAAACTCCTGGGTTCAAGCAATCCTCCCACCTTGGCCTGCCAAAGTGCTGGGATCTCTAGTGTGAGTCACCATGCCTGGCCAATGCTAAATCTTAGTATCGGGAACACACATCCATAAACTGCACCTCTCAAGGCGGCCACCAGTGGCACCTGGAGGACGTGTGTTTGGCCAACACTTCCAGCTCCTCTCTAATGGACACAAACACCTTATTATCCAAAGAGCTGGGAGCAGGCATCACTGACGGGTCAAAGTTTCAAGATCCATCATATGGGGAGATCCTACAAAAGAAGAATTTGTTGGCCAGGCAGGTGACAGAGAGAAAGTGGACGATCCCGGATAGGATGCATGTTGGCCGTAAACACCATGGGAAGAGGGTCAGTTTTTTTTTTTCGTTTTTTGTTTTTTTTTTTTTTCTGAGATAGGGTCTCCCTCTGTCACCCAGGCTGGAGTGCAGTGGTGTGATCTCAGCTCACTGCAACCTCCACCTCCTGAGTTCAAGCAATTCTCCCACTTCAACCTCATGAGGAGCTGGGATTACAGGCGCGTGCCACCACGCCTGGCCAATTTTTGTATTTTTAGTAGAGACGGGGTTTCACCATGTTGGCCAGGCTGGTCTCGAACTCCTGACCTCAAGCAATCCTCCCACCTGGGCCTCCCAGAGTACGGGGATTACAGGCATGAGCCACCATGCCCAGCCAAGGCTCAGCTTCTTAACCAAAGAAAAGAGACTTTGCAGAGTGAGTCCCTCCCACCTTGGGGCTGGCCAGGCACACCAAGAGTAATGTCTTCAGGGCCTGCCAGCACAGAGGAGAATGGGCATGTGTGTGTGATGCCCAGCAAATGACCAGCACTGGCGCATTTCTGCATGTGGTTCGGCAGCCATCGCTGCCTCGAGCTTGTCCACGTGGCGGGATCCACATTGCAGAACCCCTCCTCTCCGGCATGCAGAGCAACAGCCGTATCCGGGTGTTCGTCCAGCTCTTTTGGGACCTTCACTAAACTTCAAGGCACGTGCCTGCCCTGTGCCTCAGTCACCTGGTGGTAACCCCAGTAAATGAGTCCTCCCGCCCACCTGCTGCTCTGAGGTGTCACCTGGAATCCGGGGAAAGGTCAGGAGGCCTGGAAAATGACGCCACCTCAGTCTTTGACCCCATGGACTTTGAAAACTGCCTGTGCGGTTGGCCTGAGTCAGGCCCTGGGAGTGCAATGGTTTCTGCGTGGGGCTGGGTTGGTCTGTGTTTCAGGTTCAGCTGATAGGACTTAGGGGCCAGTGGGGGTTCTGGTTTCTACGGTGAACAACAACAGGGCTGACCCAATTGCTTTGAGAGAATGTCTTTTCTTCAGTGGAACTGTGGACTTAAGAGGTGAACTTGGAAACACAGAGTAAAGCCCAAGCATGCCCACCCCCTTTGGCTCTCTGCATTTGCCTTTTTTTTTTTTTTTGAGACAGGGTTTTACTCTATCGCTCAGGCTGGGGTGCAGTGGCACAATCTCGGCTCACTGCAACCTCCACCTCCTGGGTTCAAGCAATTCAAATGCCTCAGCCTCCCAGGTAGCTGGGATTACAGATGTGTGCCACCACGCCTGGCTAATTTTTATATTTTTAGTAGAGACGGGGTTTCACCATGTTGCCCAGGATGGTCTCAAACTCCTGGTCTCATATGATCCTCCCACCTCAGCTTCCCAAAGTGCTGGGATTATAGGCGTGAGCCACCACACCTGGCCTTGGCTAATTCCTTAGTGTTCCAAAATCTGAGGGAGAAAAGGGGGCTCCAAGACACGTCTGATACCTCAGGCTTCTCACCCCACGCTGGCGCTGGGTGAGGTTTTTGCCTCTTACCAGGTGGCTGGGCTGGTTGGATTCACATCACCACAAGCAGGGCTTTCGGTGGAATAGAGGGTGGCTGGTGTCCTCCATCCCCTGACCTTACAGTATCTAGGGCTGTGGGAGCAGAGAGGCTCCGCCACTCCACCCTCAGCCCAGGTGGGCAGGGGTACCAACATGCACATCCTAGGTGCAGGGTGATTTGTGATGGGGTGCATGGAGCACAGGAGAGGGATCTCTGAACCTGTTTGGAGAGGGCGCAGAAGCTGGGAGGAGGGGGCGGGGAGCCTGGGGTCGGGGGAGGCTGGGGCCCCAGGAGAACACCCACCCCGGGAGGCCGGGGTACTTACCTTTGATGAGACGGACGAGGACAGGACAGCCTCGGCATCCTCACGCAATCGCACCGGGCCTTCCTTCACACCATTATCCATACCAGGCCTGCTCGGAATGGCAGGAGACTCGGTCCTGGGGGGGTAAGAGGAGGTGGTAAGATACGGCGAGATCCTGAGAGATGGCGGGTGTTCCCACCAGCCTTTTCCTATCCCGGTTTCTGGCTCCCTGCATGGGGAGGGATGCCCTCAACTGCATTCTGCGGCCACGGTCCTGTGTGTATTGCTTAATCATTTACAAAAGCCTTTCTTGTTGGCACTGGAATGTAATCCCCACAAACAGTCTGTTCTTTTTCCAAATCTGGTGCCCAGGGAGCAAACAGGCTCAGAGAAGTTAAGCAGCCAGCCAAGATCACACAGCTACCAGCAGGTTGTGGGGCTAGTGTGGCCGAGGTGCTCAGTGCTCCGTGCCAACACCGAGGTGCTTGGTGCCAATACCACTGTCGGGCCACACATCCAGTGGGCTTGTGTCAGCTTGGACCCAAGGGTCTCTGTCCACCGAAATTATTTATTATTTATTTATTTATTTATTTTACTTTTTGAGACGGAGTCTCACTCTGTCACCCAGGCTTGAGTGCAGTGGCACGATCTTGGCTCACTGCAACCTCTGCCTCCCAGGTTTAAGCAATTCTTGTGCTTCAGCCTCCCAAGTAGCTGGGACTACAGGCGCCCGCTACCGCACCCAGCTAATTTTTTATTTTTAGTAGAGATGGGGTTTCACCATGTTGGCCAGGCTAGTCTCGAACTCCTGACGTCAAGTTATCTGCCCGCCTTGAACTCCCAAAGTGCTGGGATTACAGGCATAAGCCACCGCACCTGGCCTATTTTTTTTTTCCACCCAGGCTTGAGTGTAGTAGCACAATCATAGCTCACTGCAGCCTCATATTCCTGAGCCCAAGTGATCCTCCCACCTTGGCCAGCTAAGGGTGATTTTTTTGTTTCTGTTTTGACAGAATCTCCCTCTGTAGCCCAGGCTAGAGTGCAGTGGCATGACCTCGGCTCAGTGCAGCCTCCGCCTTCTAGGTTCAAGTGATTCTTGTGCTTCAGCTTCTCAAGTACCTGGGATTATAGATGGTCACTGCCATGCCCAGGTTTTTTGTTGTTGTTGTTGTTGTTGTTGTTTTAAGTAGAGCTAGGGTTTTGCCATGTTGGCCGGGCCGGTTTTGAATTCCTGGCCTCATGTGATCCTCCTGCTGTGGCCTCCCAAAGTGCTGGGATTACAAGCGTGAGCCACCACGTCTGACTGGGTTGGCTAATTTTTATTTTTCATTTTATATTTTGTAAAGACAGGGACTGACTATGTTGCCTCGGCTGGTCTGGAACTCCTGGGCTCAAGTGAACCTCTGGCCTCAGCCTCTCAAAATGCTGGGATTCCAGGCATGGCCACTGTGCCTGGTTAGTTCCCATACTTTAAAATCATCCAGTAAATGAAAACACATTACTACAAAGTGACGCAAAGGGTGCAGAGGCCCCAGAGCAGGCATCAGTGCCGGTGAGTAACGCTGTACAAAGTGCACTTGGGATTCTGCTACACCAGCCTCCACTGCTGACTCTTTCCTAGTGAAGATGGACCCATGGGCACTGGCTCTGGGAGAAACACCTGCTTCAAAGATGGGGCTGGAGAGAAAGGATGAGCTTGGAGCACGTGGAGGTGCCAGTCATGGAGGACATGCTCAGAAACAGAAACCAAAGCAGATGGGTGTGGTTAGGGGGTCATGGGCACCCTCCAAAAGAACCCCTGATGGCCAAAGCTGGAACAGTTTGAGTGGAAATGGAAAAAAACATAAAGCAGCCATGGATGAAAGCCTGAACTATAAAATAAATAACCATGCGTCCATATGATATAAACAAATGACAGAATAAGTAAGTATATGGTAGAGAAGAGACAAATCTCCCAGGCAAAGGATTCCCAAATAGTTCAGCAGCTTGGACCTCCAGGAGGGGCCATGCCTCCTACCCTCAGGTGTGGCTGCGCTTAGCGGCTTCTTTCCAAAGAGTGCAGTCTGGAAAGGGGGCTGTCAGTGACTGCAGCACAGAAACCTGATGGATCCCAGCTGGGCTAGGTGATCCAGGGCAACACTGGCTGGGATAAGTCAGGTGGATGCACTTGCCTCTGATGGAGTGTGACGACCAGGGTCTTCCTCCCCCAGATCCATCACCCCATCTGACTGTGAGAAAAACATCAGGCTGGGCGCAGTAGCTCACACCTGTAATCCCAGCACTTTGGGAGGCTGAGGTGGGCGGATCACGAGGTCAGGAGTTCGAGACTAGCCTGGCCAACCTGGCAAAATCCCATCTCTACTAAAAATACAAAAATTGGCTGGGCATGGTGGCGGGCACCTGTAATCTCAACTACTCGGGAGGCTGAGTCAGGAGAATCACTTGAACCCAGGAGGTGGAGGTTGCAGTGAGCTGAGATCATGCCACTGCATTCCAGCCTGGGTGACACAGTAGACTCTGTCTCAAAAGAAAGAAAAAGAAAAAACTCCAGACACATCCCAACAGAGGGGCATTCTCCAGCACCCCTGACCACTGCTCCCCCAAACAGTCACGGTCACCAGAAACAAGGACAGCCTGAGAAACCATCTCAGCCCAGAGAAGAGAAGTCTAAGGAGATGTGAGCGAGGTCAGGAGATCGAGACCATCCTGGCTAACACAGTGAAACCCTGTCTCTACTAAAAATACAAAAAAATTAGCCGGGCGTGGTGGCGGGCGCCTGTAGTCCCAGCTACTTGGGAGGCTGAGGCAGGAGAATGCCGTAAACCTGGGAGGCGGAGCTTGCAGTGAGCTGAGATCTGGCCACTGCACTCTAGCCTGGGCAACAGAGCGAGACTCCATCTCAAAAAGAAAAAAAAAAAAGGAGATGTGAGGACTAAAGGTCAGGTGAGATCCCTGGACAGAGAAAGGATATTCAGGAAAAACGGAGGAAACGTGAATAAAGTGTGGAGCTCCATTAATATTAATACTGTCTCAGCACTTGTTCATTAGTGAGGCAAATGCACCGCAGCACTGTGAGAGGTTACGCATAAGGGACGCTGGATGTGTGGGGTGTCGGGGAACTCAGTACAACCTTTGCAATTTTTCTGTAAATCTAAAACTACTCTTAGCTGGACGTGATGGCTCCCACCTGGAATCCCAGCACTTTGGGAGGCTGAGGTAGGAGGATCGCTTGAGCCCAGGAGTTTGAGACAAGCCTGGGCAACATAGTGAGACCCCATCTCTAGAGAAAAAAATTAGCTGGATGTGATGGCATGCACCCGTGGTCCCAGGTACTCAGGAGGCTGAGGTGAGAAGGTCGCCTGAGCCCAGGAGGTCGAGGCTGCAATGAGCTGTGATTTCAGTACACTCCAGCCTGGGTGACAGAGCAAGACTGGACTGGGTCTCAAAAAATAAAAATAAATAAAACTGCTCTCAAACAGACAGAAACCAGGTCCTAAAGACCTTTTCCAGCCGGTTGCTGGGGGTCGGCATCTTTCATCATCGGCCCGTGGGACACTCTGCGTCTGTTTCACCTTCCCCTGCAACCATCGGCCATGTCTGACTGCTGCCCAGCACCGCCCCTGACGCTACAGACCCTGGGGGCTGTGCTTGCACTTGGGTGCTCAGGTGAGAACAGCGCAGCCTCTCTACTCCTCGATTCCTAGAATTGAGGTGCTGGGTCAGGCAGCCTGGACACATTCTGCAAAGTCACCTTCCCCAGAAAGGATTCAGCCATTTGCCATCCCCCAACAGTGGGTGAGGTGCCCAAGGCCTGGGTCCTGGCCGAAGGGGGTCCCTCCCGTCCTCCTGTGGGCTCTTGCTCTGAGCTCCTCAGGAGGTCACAGTCCTGTGAGGAACAGTCTCCCCAGGAGGGCATTGCAGCCTCAGACCCTCCCTTGGCTGCACCTGCCCAGCCTCTGTGAACAAGAAGAGCCACCAGCCAGGGCTGCCTACAGTGCCCCTGGTACCATCCTTCGCTGGATCACCTGCCCAGGGCCAGGGCTCAGCCTCGAATGGCACCCATAGACATAGACAAAGTCACTGTGCAACCTGGCCGGAACTACACAAGTGTGCTGGGCCCTGCAGGTGACAGAGCACTGAGGGCAGTTGGGGCTGGGGGACGTACCTGGAGGACCTGGAGGGGGCGGAACCATGGCCCCTGAAAGATACATCCTGCCCCCAGAACCTGTGAATGTGACACTTTTACGAAAAAGGGTCTGTGCAGATGTGATAATCACAAGGCAAGATCTCTAGATGAGGGTTAAGGTGGGCCCTAAGTGCAATGACTGGTGTCCTTGTAAGAGACAGAGTAGGAGACACAGACACAGAAGGGAGGGCTGAGGATGAGGCCTGGAGCACGGTAGGCCACCACAGCCGGTGCGTGATCCCACAGCACAAGAACGGCCTGCTTCTGTTCCAGCTGCGTCCTCATCCCTTGATGAGGTCAAGGAGACAGTCGCGGCACCACCAGCACCCACCACCCTCCCCGTCTCAACAGGAAGAGGGCCCCAGGGCACTAATGCCTGCAACCATCAGAGACACAGGTTTTCATGACATTCTCTTTGTTGTTGTTGCTGTTTTATAGTCAGGGTCTTGCTCTGTTGCCCAGGCTTGAGTGCAGTGGCACAATCATAGCTCACTGTAGCCTCGACCTCCTGAGCTCAAGCGATCCTCCCACCTCAGCCTCTTGAATAGCTGGAATTATAGGCTCATGCCACCACACCTGGCTAAGTTTTTCATTTTCTGTAGAGACAGGGTCTTCTTATGTTGCCCAGGCTGGTCTTGAACTCCTGGGCTCAAGTGATCCTCCTGCCTCAGCCTCCCAAAGCGCTGGGAGTCCAGGTGGGAGCCACCGCACCTGGCCATAACATTCTTGTGTTTCCACTGTACTTAGTTTGTTTTTTCCCATCACCTCCCATTTTGCAGTAATATTGAATTTATTTTTAAGGCAGTGATACAAACTTTTATTTTATTTTATTTTATTTTTATTTTTATTTTTATTTTTGAGACAGAGTTTCGTGCTTGTTGCCCAGGCTGGAGTGCAGTGGTGCAATCTTGGCTCACTGCAACCTCCACCTCTTGGGTTCAGGCAATTCT